GCCCGTGGAAGAGGGTTCTGATGCTCAGGCTGATGCAGGGCACTCCATGCTGCTCCTTCCCTGGGAGAATGCTCTTCGTTGGCATCTCTGGGTGGTTTCATGCATAGTCACTCCCAAGCAGCCACCCCTCCCTGATCTGATCACAATTTGGTTACCATTTATTTTGTTTTACCCAGGAATCTCCATCTGGTTATTCTCTGGAGCCCTGGACAAAAAGACCAATTAGAAAAATTATCTTTTGAATAATAATTTTAATAGGACTGTCTTTCACAATTTTTATTATGAAATATACCATGATGGTCAAAGAGTATGCGTAGTGAATACACATAGTTTCAAGATCAATAATAAAACAAATGGCTGTATACCTACCACCTAACTGAAGAAACAACTCCTGTTCTTCTAAATAAAGCTATTTTGTGATTCTAAGCAGATTCTCCCTCTCCCTCCCGAGGTCTTGGGGTATGAGGTCGGTAATATGTGTGGCCTTAGTGACTCCATAGCAGTTTTCTCAGCACTTCTTTCTGAAAAAAAGAGAGAACGTACAAGCATACTGTGTAGAGAGCACCCTGAGCGGTTTGCAGACAGAATCCAGATGGTCCACGTAGTGGTGGGTATGGCTGTGTAAGGCACCATGGTTTCTCTGGGCAGTGTTCCCTGCCCACTGCTGACCTACATGGTACTTTCTGTGAATAAGAGAAAACCGCTCTTGCCACTTGCCAGAAATCTTTTGTAATAACACTGTGCACAAAGACCTGTAATAACTATGAATGTGACTATCACCTCCAGGAGTTTACAAGCCACACTACACTTCATGGTAAATTCAGGCAGGAGGTGTCTGCTGGGTTCCTCAGGTGGGCCTCATCAAATACTTACTGAATCCCTACTAGGTGCCAGGCACTCTTTCAGATGCTTGGGGTCCTATGCTGAGATAAACAGAAAGGCGCTTTGTTCTCATAGATCCTACCTACCCCCACCCCTCATGACTGAACTTGTGAGCAAGGTGTTTTTTTGGGTGCAAGAGCTGAGAGTCAACTAAAAAGCTAACGTTGCTTTTGAACTGGGTCAGGGCCCTGTGATTTCTAGCATGAGTGAGCCCAGGCTTTAATTTTATTTGGCATGTTTTTGCTGCCAAGTAAACCCTGGGGGGCCATGCTGTACCACATTGGTAGGTTCAGGGTTTGGGTGGGATTCTTAAATCCAGGGTGACCGAATAACCGAGTTTATCTAAGACAGTCCTGGGTGAAGTCTCTTGTCCCATGTGATTATTTGCGGGGGGGCGAATAATCACATTGTGGGGCCCTGTGCCCGCAGGGCCCCCCATCCTCGGATGAGAATAAGTCTCCCAAGACATGATCTTCTTGGGGAGGAAAGGTGGCTGATCTCTCAAAGGAGAAGGGCCAAGAGCCTTTTCCTCAGTTGGCTTTTATTGAGTTCAGTTTGCACAGGAATACAGGTAAGGCTCATTAGTCATTGTCAGGCAGTAAGGATCAAACTATAGATAATATTCAAAGAACTACAAGGGCTTATTCTGAGTCAGGGTCTGTTAGCTAAAGGGCTGCAAAACTTTGGGAAACAAACTCATATTCTGCTCAGACTCTTATCAGAAAATTGAGAGCATTCTTAGCAAAGCAGATTTCACAGGACTTTATGTATTCTTTCTTAGGCCTGATCACCCCAAGGAACCTGCCCTTTCCAGCACAGGGCTGCACAGCCCTCTGTCATTGTTTCAGGGTTAAGTCAGGCAGGGGAAGTAAAGAAGCCAAGAGATTAGGAGACTTCTTGCAGACATAATGAGGACTCAGGTTATATCAAAGCCAAGGGGCGAGGGTCCATCACCCCATCTTTCTATAGCCCCCCAAGTCCTTCCATGGGGGCCCCTGTGATCATGCCTGTCTTAGGTCATCCCTCCCTTGAGGAATCTTACCTGTCTTTGGCTAACCGATCATGCATTGTGGGCGAGGCAGGGTGAAGTAAAAGGGGCAGAGGCGGTGCCCCTGCCAGGGAGATAAGCTTTGTCTACTTAGTGGTTTATGGTCCCAAGGTCACTCACTCAACCTTAGCCATGGGGGGTTACAGCTTCTGAAACCAGGCAGGGCGGTTCCCAACAATTATTTATATCACCTCTTTTCCTTCTTAAAAGTGTCCCAACCCTGGATAATAAATTATATGGTCATTTATATTAGTGAGCTTTTTGTCATGGTAACAAACACCTTCAAAATCTTAGTGATTTCAAACATCAGCCACTTAGGTTTTGCTCATGAATCTTAGATCAGCTACAGCCTCTGCTCCATCTGTGGGTCAGGTTTCAGTTTGCTCTTCATTCTGGATTTTGTGCCTATGCCACAGCCATCCTGTGATGACACCCGGGCGGGCTAGAAGATCAGCCCGCACATGAGACCTGTCTTCTCTTGGCACAAGGTAGGAGCCCAGGAGTTCTGAGGTCTGTGGTGGCATGGGCTGTATCTACCCATATTTCATGGACTTTGCTACCAGATTTCATGAAAGCAAGTCACATGGCCAAGGCCCACATCAGGTGTAGCAGGTTATGCTCCTCCCTCAGAGGGGCGCTGTGGTGGGGAAGAGTGAATACTGGATAAATAATACAAGTAACCCTACTGGCTTCCCAAGTACCCCTCCTCTAGCTGTGGCTGGTGGTCCACTAGTGGTGACTGTGTCAGGACAGTACTGGAGTTACTAACAGGAGATGGGAAAGGAGTTTGGTCTCCATTTGGATGACGGAATGTATTAAGGGCTTTCACTGTGGTGTGAAACCTGTTTTGTTTTTAGATTCATTGGAGGGAGTGAAGGTCAATGTTGCTGTGACAGCCTGATTAACTGGAAGGGTTCTCCTTCCCTAGGCCCCCAGCTCTACCACCTACCGTAGAAGTTGCACCAGCAAATTTTTCGCTCTGCTGTGGAAGCTGGAGCTTGCAGCCAAACCATGCTCCCCCTGCCGGTGTCAGGGCTCTGTGACGGTGGTTTCAGATGCTCTTCACTTTGCCCCACTGACTACTCCCTCTTCCTCATCCCTGCCCTTGCTGCTCTGCATCCCGAGTGGGCGGGATATTTTTCTTTTTCCCTTGGTGTCCTGTGTTTTCACTGGCCCATGTTCAGTGTCCAGCACTGATAAGCTTTTCCTTTAAAACAATTCCAGAAAGTCCTCACTGTTGCTGGCTCACTGATGGATTGGCAGTACCCATCCTTGTTTTCCATTGTTACGTAGTCTGCTTGTCACGTTCCAGTGGTACTTGAACAGAAAAACTGGCCAAGATTCAAGCTCAGTTACCCATTCAGAAATTGGAACCCAGTGTTTTCAGACACAGATATCATATTGTTTCACCACCGTGACAAAGATTGATTGGGAGTCACAAAGGAGATACACTAGATCCGTCACCAGCCCTGGCAGCTGGCTTTCTGTCAAGAGCAATTTTTCATGAAGAAACTCTTTTATCATTTCCTAAGAATGATCAGGTACTTTCTGAGTCATGTTGAAAAGCACATGGACGCTAGGAGGTCAGCTTGACCCCGTAGGTAAGAGGTTTGCAGGAAGGGTTCATAGGCATGCCTAAGCAGAAATACAGGTTCTCATGTATCATGGATTGTTGGTGTGCTGTGGATAGTGAAATTTGTGAATATTAAATAATGTATTCCTAATTTTCTTCTTTATCATTGTGTCTCCAAAGCTTAGCTCAGTACCTGGCATGTATAGATATTCAGAAAACTTTGGCTAAAGCAGTAAATGTTAATGATGGGGAGAGTCCTTGTAGCACAGTAGAGGCAGTAGGGGTGTCCTTTAAAGTGAGAGTTTACAGCCACCTCTGTGCTAGGAATGAGCTCAGGTTGATGCTTCAGCCTCCGTGGCTCTGCTAGAAGGTGGGATAGGAGCAAGGATGGGTTTGGGCTTTGTTCTGAGAGTCAGAAGCTCAGCCACTGGACAGTGCGCTGCTATGGACCCAACCTAAAGTCATGGGGCCCCAGTCCACATAGCAGATGCTGCCGTGGCCCTGCCATATTCCCTCTCCCTTACACCTGAGCACATGCCTCCTGAGCTCCAAAGGCCAGCCTGTGTGTTTATCTGAACATGGGATTTTTCTGGCCACTGCAGCTTACTTTACTACCCATGCTGCAGGTTGGAAATGCCCCTTGAGAGCTTCCTTCAAATCAGTGACTGAAGGGAGTTGATGTTATCAATACCTCATGTCCCCAGCCCCAGGTCTGTTGGGGGGACTCCAGGTATATGGAGCCTCCCCAGCAGGCTTACCCTGCAGTTTCTCACTGTGGTACTGGATTGACAAAGCCTCCTTTACTGGCTTCCTTCCCTAGATCACTTCCCTGTTCCCCCACCTGTATTATCTTCATCTCAGTAACCCACTTGCCCTCGAACCTTGTCTCAGGTCTGCTACTGGGAACATCCAAACTAGAACCACTGTCCCTGGGTCCTGGCTACCCTGACCACCAGGGTGTGGGTGTTCTTGAGGCTTCAGAGGACTTGAGCTTCATTTTGCTAAGACCCTTAGAAGTTAATATCAAAAATAGAAAAAAAAACCCTGTAATTTTTTAAAAAGTTGTTATTTAAACAATTCACAAGTTTTATTATACAGCCCTCTGAGATGACAGAGGGATTTTTGGGGACAGCCGAAACTGCCCTGCTCATCCACTAGCAATGATCTGTGTGGCCACGGGACAGGGTAAATGATAATACTGCTGTGCTGACCTGCAGGGCCTTCCTCGTCCCTCTGAATAGCTCTTCTCACGCTGCGGCTGCCTGTGTCTTGTTTCTAAACATGGCCCACATGTTACCTCCTCCGCGCTGTGTCCAGGTCCTCCCTGTCTGTGCCTCAGAATCAGATGACCCAACGGTGTCCCCCGCCAGGCCTTCCTCAGATGGCCTCTGAGGGTGAATGGATGCCAGGGTCATTCTGCCTACCCTGTACAATGGATGGGCACAGGGGATCGGGGGGCAACAGTCATACTGACCTTTAATCTTTGCTTCTTTGCAGATATCTCAGTCAGCCTACTGACCCTTGTGGTCACTGCCTGTGGCCTCGCTCTCTTTGGCGTGTCTCTCTTCGTGTCTTGGAAACTCTGCTGGGTTCCGTGGCGAGAACGAGGCCTATTCTCTGGTAGCAAAGACAACAACCAGGAGCCTCTTAACTACACGGACACAGAGACCAATGAGCAGGAGAACAGTGAGGGCTTCCTAGACCCTCCCAGCCCCTGCCCTGATTCCTCCATGAAGATCAGCCACACCTCCCCCGACATCCCCCTCTCCACCCAGGTGGGGGGCCAGGAGCACTGTGCCCAGGGCATCCGCATGAAGCGCCAAGTCACAGAGCCAGCCTCGTCGACTCGGTCAGTAACGCCTCCTTTCTTTCTGAGTGCAAGGCAAGGACCACCCACTCATTTCCCTCTCTTGGCAGCAATGGCACTGAGTAGGCAAGAAGCCTGTGACCTTCCACATGTCCATTCAGTGTCATGGATATGAATATGGGAAAAGTTGGTGCTTCCAGTGTTCCAGTGAGGTGCCTGAGCTCTGCATAGTCTCTGCTTAGTCTAGATATAATAGTAGTTACCGGGACTAAGACTTACCATGTCATGTACTAAGAACTTTATCTGTATTATTACAGCTGACAGCTTGATGTGAGATGGATCCTATTATCATATTCATTTCACAGAAGAAACTTAATTCAAGGAGATTAAGTAACAAAGTCATACATTGGTAAGCACCCAGGTCAGGTTTGACCCCTAGTTCAGCCAGTGCCAGAGCCTAAGTTTTTAACCACTGCTGGTGCTGTGGAGCTTATTCCCCGTGCCTCGGACCAAGCCTAGCTGTCACACACAGGCTGGCTTTACACTCCACAGAGTGGCAGGTGGTCTTTGTCCATCTCCAGGCTTTGCAAGGCCTACAGAGTGCCCAGGCCTGGGGTCACTCGTTCTGTGGCTGGATGCTTTGTGCACTTCAGCAGTGGAGAAATAATATAATGTAGTCCCAGATGCAAGGTTCCAGGGCCCAGTGAACTGCTTTACTTATGTGTGTGATATGGGACCCCTTAATCTCTGCATGCTTCCATTTCCTCTTCTGTAAGAGAGGAATAGCGATAGCAGACGTATGGGTGGTTTTGGGAATGAGATGATAACATGGACACCATGGGCTTTGCACAGACCTATACCTGGCAGGTACTGCAGGCGTGAGCTGCCTTTTTTGCTTTCAGGGTTGCTATTATCAGCATCGCTATCACAGAGACAGGCCTCTCCCAAAAGACTCAGATGTTGCATAAAGGTGGCTTTGAGGTCACACAGCCAATTTTGAATCACTGGATATAAAAATTCACTCTCAGTAAGAGACTGTAGGAAAAGAGACTCAGGAAGCAGCTTTCTTTAAAATGAAACTATTTGCTTGAGCGATAGCCAGAGGAAAAGCTTGTGCTGTTATTTGGAAAGTAGGAGCAGTTTGGGGATAATTTTTAAAAATCTTTCGTTATTTGTTCTCTAGAAACAGAAATAAGATTCTATCCTTTTTTATGTTAATCGAGTTTATCCTAGAGGCTCTGCTTATTCACATTAAGTGGGATGGAATATGACAGTTTATAATTTAATTTTTTCAGAAACCTATTTTAGCATCATTTCCAATTCTGAATCAAAGAGCTAAACCTAAAATATTCCTCTGTGAGGAAATGGATGGTTGTTTGCCATTTGATTTAGAAGGAATCCTCGGATTTTGTCACTAGAATTTCTCTTTGGATTTAACACTTAAATATAACTGGAGCTCTTTTTGATGCTTCTGTGGAGTTCATGCAGTGGTGCAGATGCAAAATAAAGTCTCTCACTGCTTGAATAACTGGAGCCTTTCAGATGGAGTTTCCATTGAGATTGTCTCCTTTTTGGTTTTACTCTGCCTGTTAATTTTTCTGGTCTGGGTTCCATCAATACAGGGGGACAAGGTTATGTTTTTTATTAGATTATAGATCTGAGGACTCTGCCATAATTCTAATGAATTGATAGCAATCACATCACTATAATTATCACAGTATTTATTCTAGAAAAATGTGTAAGTACTCTGCATGTCAAAAATATTTTTTATTTAAAAATAAAAACTACAGATATTGTCACTGCTGATTCATGGAAAATAGAAGGAAAAAATGAAAGGAAAATAGAGAAGAAATTATTCCTGTCAAATATATTTTGTATTTAGATTTATTTTAGTTTGGAGGCATGCAATTAAGTTTTCTTTTCTTTTTTTAGATTTTATTTATTTATTTTTAGAGAGGGAAAGAGGACAGAAACATCAATGTGTGGTTGCCTTTCATGCGCCCCCTATTGGAGACCTGGCCCACAGCCTAGACATGTACCAGGATTAGGAATCAAACCAATGACCCTTTGGTTCACAGGCCGGCATTCAATCTACTGAGCCACGCCAGCCAGGGCTAAATTACCTTTTTTGGTGGCCAAAACAAGTTTAGTTATATCTGAACTACAGTAAGAAAACTAATAACTCTTTCCATCTGCATTTGACTTAATACCGACAATTTGCATCATTATGCATTTAAAACATTCTTATTGAAATTACTAATGCCCTTGTCGTATGGGTTATGTCTGGAAATACATATCTCTGCTGATGGTGTTACCATGAGAATGGTATATGGTCTTATAATTGTTTAGGAATTGTGTTGTATTATAAACACACATACACATAAAGCATTTTTACTGACAAAATGGGAAACATTAGTGAAATTTCCTTCATGCTCCAAAACGTTTTTAACATTCTTTTTTCACTAACATAGTTGGCGAGGGGGAGATACTCTGCTCCTTACTACTGTTTCTGCCTTCTTTCTCATTATGTCCTTTACCTTCTCACTGCTGTCACTTTCTCTCTTACTGCTTCCCTCCTGTGGCTGTTGTCACTTGTCCCAAAATCCCCAGGACACTCCTTGGCCAGAGCACGTAAGGCTCAGACTCCCAGTTGGGGCATCCCCACTGTCACTGCAGTCGGCATCGCTTCTCCTGAAGATGAGCTCTGTTGCATCTTCGAAGAACGTTTCTGGTCAGGATGACTTTCTGTTGTCTTCCAAGATCAAACATGTTAGCGTTCTGTTTCTAGTTAACTCCATTCCTATTAGAACCCTCCAAAATTCTTGTTAATTCTTTTTTTTAAAAAATTGTATTTAGTTTTAGAGAGAAACTAAATTTAGTTTTAATTTCAGTTACCCCACCACAGACTCCTTATGAGGTCTCTTAAGGCTCTGTGTGATACTGCCACAGTCTGCTTCTGCCAGCTGTCAGCTCACCCTCGGCCAGGGCCCATGGGCCACAACCCCAGAGGACACTGTTAACGTGGACTCAGTGGAAGGCTTTACGTGAAAAAACACACTACACTCCAACTACACCAGCCTCTCTCTTAGCTCCTTCAGTGTCTCTAGCCCTTTCCTGCCTTAGAGCCTTCACACCTGCTATTCCTTCAGCCTGAAATGCTTTTCCCTCTTCTTTGCCATCCCTGGCTCCTTTGCAGCCTTTGTTCCCACCTAAAATGTCACCTCCTCAGAAAGGCCTCCCTGATCACCCTGTCTGAGGTATGTGTTGTTCCCTCCACGCCCTCCCACTCTTAATTCTCTGTGTAAGAGAATTCACTTCTTCACAGGGATTGAACTCTATTTTTAACTAAATGACTCTTGATTGTTTCTTACTGTCTTTAGACTATGAGTTCTGTGAGCTCAAAGGCCAGCCACATCCACTTTGTTTCTCCCTTGACTGTGTAACCACTAGCCCAGCCTCTGACACATAGCAGATTTTTTTCATGAATGACTGACAACACATTTGTCAGTATCAGGCCACTTTGCTCATGTTCTGCTGACAGGAATGGCAAAAGGCCTACAGTACAATGTAAACTGAGTAGGGCCTAGAATGGTGTGAGGCTGGCGTGAGGCCATTTGTACAGGTCCCAGATTCATTAAGGGCCTCACTTCCAGACTTTAGTCCTTATCTCTGAACTAAGCAATTCTTAGAGTCATAGAAATAAATACACTGACTAAACTCAGAGAAGTCAAGGAGCACACTTTAAATGGCCCCATTATTTGCTGCCACTCCAATAACTGGTGCACTAGGAGTAGGTGTGGTAATTAGACTTTAAGTAGCACAGTTCTATTAAGCTAGACTATTTTATGTTGAGAGCATCGGTTCGATAGGAACATGAGACAGTTTTTTAATGCTTTTTTTAGTTACTTCTTCAGATTTTAATATACTGACAGCTGCAAAAATGGAAATTGTCTAGACCTCTCTCAACTAAACGTAAATGTCTATTTTCTCTACTGGGATTTAATTATAGCAAGCTATTATGTCCATGGCATTCATATCTTTACTCCAGACACATGCATGAAGCATCTGCTATGTGCACCATTCTATGTTATATGCCGATGATAAAGAGAAAAAAGATACAGCTCTGGCCTGGAAAGGTCCACAGACTAGTTGATGACATGTGCGAATTACATACATTTAATGCTCCAGTTGTTGGATGTGGCAGGAGTGGGTAAGATGCCCCACCGTGGGACATGGTGATGACTGGGTACGGGGGACCAGTTCAGGCCTGCAGTGATGAGGGTCTGGACTCTTTTGGGAGCCGTGGGAAAGGAAAGGGGTATGAGATGTGAGCTCCTTAGACAAAGGCCAGTCTTAGTGATGGGGACATAGGCTCGTCTTAGTAACAAGGGATGCAATATTTGAAGATGACACCCAGGTTTTAAATGTGTTTCACTTGGGAGGGGGTCAGAAGCATTGGGTTATGCTTTAGTGTATCTGACTGCATTGCCCACACACCTCCACTGGCCAAGGCCTACATCCTAATTATCCCACTCACTGTAGAAGTCTCTGAATCCCATTACAAGGAAGCCTCACAGAAGTGGAGAACAGACTGACACCTGTCAGAGGTGAGGGTGAGGGGTTGCAGGGCAGGGCGGAAAAGGTGAAGAGATTAAACAAAACAACAGAAAACTCATAGACATAGACTACGGTATGGTGGTGACCAGAGGAAAAGGGGTGGGGGAAGTAGAAGAAGGTAAAGGAGGGATAAATGGTGATGGAAGGAGACTTGATTTAGGGTGGTGAACACAATACAACATGCAGATGATGTATTATAGAATTGTACACCTGAAACCTGTATAATTTTATTAACCAGTGTCACCCCAATAAAGTCAATAAAAAGGAAAAACTAATGAAAACAAACAAAAAAGCCTCCGATTCCCCTGCCCTGCCCTTGTAGCCGTTGGACTGCATCTGTCCCCCGTCTGCGACTCCACCTTCCTCTGCGTCTGCCTGCCAGCCAGGCCAACGCAGCTCTTCCATTTCCACAGCCAGGGGCATTTCAGGAAAAGAAACGTAAGAATCCTGTCTCCACTGTTTCCAAACCTCCCTGTTTTGATGGGAACCTAGTCAAGAAACCCATGATGGTTCTGAAATCACAGTTTACTTATTTCTCCTTCCTGTCCATGGACCCCGAAGCCTTGTCAACATGAACGCCCCAGAACCAGGGAAAAGATTGGCCAACTTTCACCTCTGAAATGAGGTCCCTGCGGTGAGGGAGAGTGTCCCCTTGTCCATGTCTGCCCAGAGGAAACCCAGCAATGGGAAGGCTGCCAGAGGTTCTGGGCACTGGGTGTTCGGAGAAGCTGCTGGGGCAGAAGAGCCGAAGGCCTCGTCCTGCTGGAGAGCTGGGGCTGAGATGGAAACTTCATTTCCCTCTTGAGATCTAGAGCCTCTGTGTGGAGGCTGGTAAGTATGAGGCCAAGTTAGTAAGAAAGCTCAGCTCAAGTACCATCTCCTCCAGACAGTTTCCCAAGCCAGAGGCACGTTTTCCCCTCTGCCTCTGCCTCTGTGGCTCTCCAACCTCGAGCTGTTTTTTCATCCCCCTCTGCCCCCATGTCTATATAGTTGGTGTATGACTATCTCACCACCCACCTGGGAGTCATTTTCTTGAAGGCAGTGACTAGGCTTTTCCTCTCTCTTGCTTCCACCCTACCTGACCCCTTGCTTTTACACATTCAAATTTGTTGAATTGCAGTAATGTTGTCTTAGCATCCAGCGGAGATAGTTGGCTTTTTAGGTGATGACTCAGGGACCAAGACTTTGGGGGCTCAAAGTGGGGTGCTGGACCTGGTTAATTCAAATTTGAGAAAAGGAGAGGAGGAAAAGCCTTTCATACCTGGGCCCCGGCCTCTCCTGACCCTTGGCTACAGCTCGACACCAGGCTCAGATTTCTTCAGGCATGGAAGTATGTTTCTGGGTGTGTTATGGAGAGTCTGCCTTTGGATTTTGTTAGTCATGTTCGAAATTAGGCTTTCTTCAGGCTCGACCATGCATCTTCCAGCTCAGGCCTGGATAAAGTTCTCATCCTGGCCTCTCTCAGACAGGAAAATGGCCTCTGTGGGAGGTGGAGGAAGTTGAGTTTCAGCTCCAGGGGCCAGCTTCTCTCAGACGGCATTAGGGTATGACTTAACATACAGAGAACACTCTCTTCCCTTATCACACCCTCACCTCCTCTTCTTCCATTCATTGCACACCTTAAGTCCTAAGAACACCAGAATACAGGACTCCCCAGACCTTCTCAGAGGACTGTCTGCTTCAGACACAGATCCCCCCTTACTATGCTCACTCAGTGTCACTCCATAACCTTGACATTCTGCTCCTTTGGTGGGGCAGCTCTTCCAGCTTACTGCAGTCATGAACCACCTCCATAGACCATCCTAGAGCCGACCCCTCATCTGGGGTGCTGGGAGCCAGGTCACATCTGTTTTGTCTTTCCTCTGCCTTGCATTTGACTTGCTTACCTACCTACCTCCATTTGAATAGCCTACGAGAACTAGGGAATATTTATTTTCCATTTCCTCTACCCTTCCCCTTAAGGACCCTGGGGCAGGCACCCTGCTCTACTTTCTCATTTCTCAGCCCAGGGAGCTGCAAAGGTGGTGAGTTAGTTACCTGGGTTCTTGGGCAGCCCTGAACTTCTCTAGTCCATGCCTGCAACCCCAGGAATCGCTGACTCTTTCCTGAAAGGAAATTGAAAGCAACTGAAAGAGGGCCCCAGGGAGTGAGAACTGTCCTGACCTGTTACAGCCTCGCTCTCTGCTTTAAGCCACTACCTTACAGTTGGATGCAAGTGTTTTCCCCATAGTAAGTGGGATTCTGAATCCCAGTGGGGGTGAGGTAAGTGTTGGGAATAAAACTCATCATGTAAAACATTTGGGTGGATAATAGTATTCACATGTGTATCTGATTTTTAAAAAAACAATCTTCAGCTGTGTTGGAATTTTGAATGGAGGTGTCTGTGCAATTGTTTTTTGAGGGAATGTTTTGGCCTTTGAATCACACACACACTCTGTAATGCCCTCCCTGATCCACTCCCTCTACCCCCTGGCAATCCACTGTGGTTGGGAACAGCAGAACATGTAGGACTTATTTATTTCTCTTCAGATTTTGTGTCTTAACAAAAATGTACAAGGAAAACAGAATATGTTCCATTGCTAAGCAGCCAAAGTTGTGCAGTTTTAAATTAAAATTTACGTGGCAGGCTTAGTCCTACAGATAAGGGTTAAGACAAAACCTTGCTGTGATGAATCTAAGGCCAGCACTCTCCAAAAAAATTGAAGGTGTGTTGTTATGCACCAGGAGTCTGCTCAGCAACCAGCTTGGAAGAAAAGTGACAGCAGAGTGGCAGGGTCTGGGGATGGTGTGGACACAGAACTGGGCCTCTCACAGGCACTGGTGCAGAGAAGGCACATCCAGTAAGTCTCAGTGGAGCACTTCTAGTATTTAAACAGCCTCACTAACAGCTCCTAGAATGGCCCATCATAGGTGGGAACTGACTCCAGACCCCAGTATGGCTCTTGTTTGAATCCAGTCTCGAGAGAGAAATCAATAGCAGAAGAAGCCAGAGCTGGTACCAGCCCCTGGTGGCCTCTGCATGGGGCCAGATACTTGCTGCTCTCTGCCCGTCCTTTCTGCCCAGAGAGCCCAACAGAGCAAGACCAAAGCTTTGTTCCAGGACTACAGAGGCTCAGCATCTCGACAAGGGGAGGACTTGCACAGGGGAGGCTATACTTGCACAGAGAGCCCGTCTGGGTGCTCCAGAGTGTCCCCTGACTCTCTTCCTACCCCTGAACAATCAGAAGATACTGAGAGAACTTCTGCTGGGGGGTTTCTCTGTAAGAAATTAAAATCTCACAACAGAAAGTTTCAGACCACACAATTGTTTGCTCATGTAGAAATGTGTGTGCCTGGGGTATGTCTGCTTGTGGTGGGCAGTGTTGGCTGTGACGGGTGCAGGTGACAGCCTTGTGACTGTGCCTGTTTTGTACTATGTGGGTGATTAGTGACTAGGGATGTATCTTAGGATGAAGAGGAATGTTCAGCATAACATCTGTATGACAAGGCAGGATGATTTCAAACATGTTTCAGGGGTCATTAATACCATTTTTATATCTTTATTTTATACAGCAGTCTCAAGAAAGGAAAAGAAGATAAATGTTTGCTCTGCCTCTCCAACTATGTACAAATCCTTTAGATATAGCCCGGCCATACCCTTTGAGCTGGCGGAGAGAGGCTATTTTAATTAAGGTTGTTGAGAGACTACAGAAAATGCCGTGTCATGACTAAACTCTGAGCTAAAAACAAACAAAAGCAGCCTTCAAAACAGCCTTGTATGTAATGACTGCTCCTTTCAATTTGTGAAGATTCACACAATAATGCACGTTTCAAGGAGAATTTCAGGGAAACTTTTTACCCAAACCCATACACTTAGAAGGTGAAGAGTAGATTGTGTTAGCAAATGTTTCATTTGCAAATATCTGTATCCAGTCTTCTCTAACTGAATCCTTGTACACATGTGCAGTAGCTTTCTTTGCCTTTGTACCCACAATGTTTAGTTCAGACATAAGCCCCTTCCTGCTGCTCAGGCATTACCCACGTGGTATCACAGAAACACGCTCCCAGAGCCGTCACCAGACCTGTCAGCCAATGCAGTCCACTGCAAGCAGAGACACCCTGTCACATACATTCTCACAAAAGCAAAAATTGTGTTCTTGTAACCAAATGATGTGATTTGAACCAATAAGAATATACATCCATATAAAGCTGTAAGCCTGTGACAGGATATTTTGTTTAATTTAAAGAGAGATTCATTCTTCTAAGATACACAGCTAACTATTTCAATGCCAGGATGATATTATATATAAAAGTGAATACTTCTATTTTTAAAGCAGTCTGAACAAATCTTTAAATTCCACCAGTCAAGTGACCTTTTTTATGGCATATTAGTTTAGAAAGCTCATTAAACCTTTAAAGCTCCAAGGTCACATGTAGTTAAGTTCATTTCCTGAAACCAGCCCTCAAATTTGGGTTTCAAGTATTGGGGATCAGCTTACTCACATTGATGAGCCTAGTGAATTTAGACCCACAGATCTAAGCTTTTGACAGTGTGTAGCAGTCTGCCTACATCCCAGGCACAAGTTTCTGAAAGACCCATAGCTAATGAGGTTTTAACTTTGTCCTCTCTTGCTCTTCACTCAAGGCATAATTCAATCCGAAGACAACTCAACCTGTCAAACCCGGACTTCAATATCCAGCAGCTTCAAAAACAGGAACACTTGGCTGGAATTGGCCGAATTAAGCCAGAGTTATATAAGCAGAGGTCGTTGGATAATGACGACGGGAGAAGGAATAACAGCAAAGCCTGTGGGAGACTGAACTTTATTTTAAAATATGACTGTGACTTAGAGCAGCTCATAGTGAAGATTCATAAAGCTGTCAATTTGCCTGCCAAGGACTTTTCTGGGACTTCAGATCCTTATGTCAAGATCTATTTGCTTCCTGATCGGAAAACAAAACACCAGACTAAAGTTCACAGAAAGACCCTGAACCCTGTGTTTGATGAAGTGTTTTTGTTTCCTGTTCCCTACAATGAACTTGCAGCCCGGAAGCTTCACTTCTCTGTGTACGACTTTGACAGGTTCTCCCGCCATGACTTAATTGGCCAAGTGGTGGTGGATCACTTCCTAGACTTGGCTGATTTCCCCAGGGAGTGCATCCTTTGGAAGGACATCGAATATGTCACCAATGTAAGTCCAGCATTTCTTCTGGGGGCAGGAGTGCTTCTTGGTCAGAATGCAAACAAATTATTTATACCTTATTGTATTTGAGGGGCAAAGAATAAATTTCATGTCAATATACATGTATTGTAGCTGTGGCTTCAGAACCTCCTTGTACCTTTCTAGAGACGGTACTTTAAAAGGTCTTTAATGATATTCATTTGAAATTTCCAAGGATTATTGATGAAAACAATATTCAAGAATAACCTTCGCTCTTTTCTACTTTGTAATCCTTAGCTATCCTCTCTAGTAGACACTACATATTATCTTCCCTCCTTACCCAATTTTCTTTAAAGATTTCTTAGCTCATTTGTGCTAAATGGGTCCCGGCATCCTATTGACCGTAATCTGCTGCTAAGAGCATTAAGTTCTTACCCATGTTCTCAGGTCAGCTAGGCTCAGTAGCATTTCTTATGATGGGATCTTCACACTTAACCTCAGAAGTGAGAATGGTTGGGAAGAGTTGGTGCCACATTTTAAAATATTGACTCAAAGTTAAAAGAAAAGCGGTCTGAAAATATGTACATGTACTGGCAACACTAATGTATAGAAGGCCAGACCCAGTTTAGAGCTCAGGAGAGAGAGAGCAGGAGTGCCACGTGGTGATGCCATATATCCACATGTACATTTTCAGCCCAGGACTGCGGTGGTGATTATTTTTATTCCATCTACATCCTTTCCATTAGCCTGCAGAGGTTCAGTGACACTCCTGAGGTGGAAAGTGGAATTGGACTTGTTTAGGTAACTGATATTTTCTTTAGGTTTAAAACTTTTTATTTGCATATTAAAAAATGTGCATTCCAATAATTAAAATCATTTTAACAAAAAACGGCACTCTGATTAAACTGTACTGATATGTTAATGCTACTTGTTTCTTTCACCTGTCCAAATTCCCTCAGGTAACTTTGTTAGCTTGTCGTCGGGAGTATGGGCCCTTCTGAGGCCTTTCCCTTTCCCTTTTTTGAATCCAAAGACATCAAGCACCAAATCCTTACTCAGCCAAGACCATGATCCAGCTTGAGTTGGAGCCCATCTAGTGATGGACTCCAACTCAAGAACTCCTGCTCTGGACTCAAACATACAAATTCTCTGCCCGATGACCAGGTAACCACCCTAGTTCTTTGTCATCCTCAGCCTGTGAACTAGGGATTAGAACACACGTGGACACCTTCTCTTCACATGCCACCAGGACCCAGTGCCAGCTTTGCCCTGCTGCTCCAATGAGTGAAGTGTGGCATGGGTTTTGCTGGCCTTGATGATAATGTTGAGGAAAGAAAAGGTGCAGAGAGCATCATGTGATGAAACTGAAGTGATTTGAGAGATTAGGAAAGGAACAGATCTCTTCAATCTTGAAAGGTTGCAATATCTATAAACTCAAAAATTGATGCAAGACGAAGCAAGGACTATACTTATTCCCAAATCAGTAGGCAGCATGAGAAGCTCTAAAGAAATAAGATGAGCAGGCTGCTTATAATGTATGAACAGCCCAAGAGCGAACACTCTCAATGGAGTGTCTGCAAAGTCTACTCCATTGGGTATAAACTGAGACGCTGCTGCCAATAGTGATGGGCCTTGGTAGAGGGAGGTTGGCCATCCCATCTAGTATGACATCAACTTATACTTTTTGATAAACGAATTCCATAAAATAGCTGGAATGGTTATTAAAAAGCTCAACAGGGATCCTGCTGTGAGTGGCCTTCCAGGGACTTTGTGGAGAGAGCAACACTGATTGGACAGTGGCTGATAAAAATCTGAATAAGGCTGTTCCCTGGTGGGAATGGCTTCTAGTTTCCCGTGGCATAAGAACAGAGAAAGGCAGCCTGTACGGCCTTCAGGCCCAGGGATCACTGCCATTTGAGCACCTTCCTGGGACTGAGTTCCTCATCCACTGCTGGGGAAGTCTTGATTTGCAACGAATTTGTGAAGAACGTTAAATTTTTTATCAAAGAGGAAACCCAAAAAGGCCAATGGCCTCAAAATGAGTGAGTGAATGAATGAATGAATGAATGAATATTCTAAGCCCTGACTGAGGCCTTTGGATGGTCAGCAGGAGAGAGGCTATTCTGAAAAGGGGAATACAGATTATTTTATAATCCATATAATTTTAAAATTTCATTTAAAAATTATTATTTGGGACTGTGTTGACTGTGCTTTTTTGAATGTGACTTTGTATAGAGACTGACATTTGCCAAGGTTTTGTCTTTATAATAGCACACCTGGAACTCAGTGTGTATGATGGACACGTACTGAGGAATAAGGATAATTAAATCAACAGGCATGAACCTGCCGCTCAAGTGGACAATGGAACATCACCAGTACTTTGGTGACTTCTGGGTTCTCTCTCATCACTGCTCAGAGAAAACCACTATCTTGATTTTTATTTATTGTGACATGTTTGTAAGACTATGTATTATTTGGTTTTGTCTCTTCCTGATTTTCATAGCTCTTCTTTGACTTTTTTCCCAGTTCACATTGATTTTGACATTTAAAATAGAGATGAACAGAGATGCAGTTCATGTATTTTCATTACTATAGAACATCCCATTGTGTTATGTATGGCAGATTAGCTTTCTTGTATTGATGTCATTTGGGTTTGTATTAGTTTTTTACAATTCTGAATAATATGGCACATAACATTTTTGTGCACATTTCCTGGTTTATATACACAATAATTTCTCTAGGGTGCATCCCTAGTAGAGGTAAAGTAGACATGTGTTGAGCTTTTCTAGGCAACGCCGAGTTCTTTTCCACAGCGGCTGTACAAATTGATCCTCCCACTGGTGAGATATGATAGTTCCTGATGCTTCATATTCTCACCAACTCTTGCAGTTGTTGCACTGTTGAATATGTGTGCCGCACATGCGTGGAAAATGGTATGTAATTTGTACTTTGTGGTTGCCCATCTTTTATATATTTATTGGCCATTTATGTTTCCTTTCTTGCAAAATGCTTGTTTAGCACTTGTTTTCTGTTTCCTTTTCCTTATTCATTCATATTGTTCTATATATAGTCTGTATGCAAATTCTTGGTGATGTGTATTGCAAACATCATCTCTCCACTTATGGCTACCTTTGTACTCATGTTATGGTAGCTTTTGATCAATAGAGGTTCTTATGTTTAATATAGCAAAATATGTCAATATTTTTCATTGAAAGTTAGGACTTTTGTGTCCTGTTTAAGAAATCTTTCCTTACTCTATAGATTTCTTCTATATTTTCTGTTAGAAATCTTAACACTTTGACTTTCCTAATTATGATTTTAATCTATCCAGAATGAAACTGTTTATATAGAGAATACAGGCATTCTGTATTAGTCAGTTCAGGCCGACAAGACAAACCCCATAAACTGTTAAAACAACAGGAATTTATTTCTCACAGTTTAGGAAACAGGGAAGTGTGAAATCAAGATGCTAGCGCATTTGGTTCCTGGTGAGGGCGCTTTTCCTGGTTTGTAGACAGCCGCCTTCTCACTGTGGCCTCACATGGCAAAGAGTGAGGGAGCTTTGGTTGCTCATCCTCTTCTTACAAGGACACTAGTTCTGTCATGGGGATGCCGTCCACATGACCTCACCTAGACCTAATCACTTCCCAAAGGACTCACTTCCAAATACCATCACATTGGCATTTGGCTTCACCATGTGAATTGGTGGTGACATAAATATTCACTCCATAATGCATCCACATTTCTTTTCCTGTATGGGTAATCAGTTTTCTGGCATATTTTCCCAGTAATCTGTGCATGCTCTGTCCTATACAGGTTTTGATATAAGAGTCTGTTCTGGCTTCTCTTTTTTTATCCACTGTTCTATCTCTACTATCATTCTATGATAAGCCTTAATATCTGGAAGAGCAATTTATTCATTTCCCTGCTTTTTCTCCAGTTCAGTCTTGACTGGTACTTGACTTTTCCCTTAAATTTTAGAATCTAATGGTCAAGTTACACAAAATATTTTCTTTTATCTGTTTGCACTTGTGTGAAGTCTGTAGGTTAATTTAGGGAAGTTTTACATCATTTATGATATTGAGTCTTCCTGCTCGTGACCATTGTGCATTTCTCCATTTATTTAGTCCTTTAAAGTTTTTATTCAAGTCCTATAATTTTCTACATGAGGATCTTTCATCTCTCTTGTTAGATTTATTGGCAGGAGTCTTTCTGGTTATTTTAAGTAGTATCTTTTCTGAAATTGCACTTCCCAACTAGTGCTACTATATAGTAATGAGTTTAAATTTTGAATATTTATCTTCTATTTTTCAATCTTGCAAAACTTTATTAATTCTCTGATTGGATTGTGGATGCTTCTTAATTTTCTTTGTAGATGTGAGTCACGTGGACTATGATAGTTTGTTTCTTTCTAATTTGTATACCTTTTATTCTTTTAAAAAAACATTTAGTGTGGGGAGACAAGGAATTCCAAAACAATGCTGAATGATAATTACGATAGTAGTCACCCTTGACTTTTTTCTTATTTTAAATGGAATGTTTTTAACATTTGCACTGATACAAATTTTGCTATAGATAGTTTGTGGATGTCTTCATAATATTAAGGATGTATCCTTCTATTCCTAGTTGACAAAAAATTTTATCACAAACAGTTCTTTTACCAAATGCTATGAAACTCTGAGGTTTTCCCCCTTTGATATGCCCCTCTGGTCAATTACATTAATTAATTTTCTCATTTTGAGCCAATCTTAGATCACTAGTGTAATCCCAATTGGCCTTGATGCAGTCAGTACCTATTTTATGCATTGCTGAGTTCAGTTGGCTAATACTTTGTTTAGCGTTTTTGACATAGTGATGCCTGTAATCTACTTTCTTGTGTGGTCTTTATCTGGGTTGGGAGTAATGTGATCATGTTCTATTTGTTTCTGCTCAGTCCCCTGGAGGCTTTGGGTTTTTTGTCTCTTTTTCTTCAAACTGAAAAGATCTCCCTCAGTCTATTGCTTCTAATTAGGTCCAGACAATGAGGAAGG